ATTATATAATTATTAGCCTTTACAGAAATGGCATAGCTGGCCAACTGGCAAATAAAATTCCCCCAACGTGTCGGAGACATTAATAGACGTTATTGTACAGCTTTTTCTTAGGCTTTCTTATCTTTTAAGCCGAGATTATAATGTTATATTAAGTTATGTAATCATTTCAATTTTTTTATGTTTATATATGTATATATAATGTTAAAATATATTTTAATAATTATAATCGACAGAACTATTGTTGATGAATAAATAAATAAATAAGTCTTATGAATTCCACAACAAATATGGTACAGTATTCATACAGAAGAAGCTGTCTTCAATAGTGTTTCAATCTTCTTTAGTAATTCAGGCAACTCTAATGATACTCGTATCGTTAAAACGAAACAAACGATTTCAAAATGTAGTAGACATGTTTTAAAATGTATTGACTTTCATGAACATCTTAAGCAAAAGGGGGCCTTAACTGCAAAATGGAAGTGTAAGGAAAATATCACTATTATCGAGCATGTCTTTCTTGTATGTGTTTAAAAACAAATAAGTTAATGTTGTATTGTAATTGAATATATTATGCCCTCGCACCTTTCTCTGGGGATAATATAACTCTTTCGAAGTGAAATATTATCTTTCACTTCAGCTGAACCTAAGCACAAACTCTCTTTGCATTTTAACGGGCTTCCTTGCAGAACACTACAGACAAGCATCTGCGAAATCCAAGAATTATGGAAGGCAGTCTTTAAATTCTTTGTTTTTGGCAACAGAACAAATACTGGAGACTTGTCAGGGATGAGATTATAAAACGTATGAAGTCATATTATAAACGACACGAAGCTAAGATCCTAAAGGCAGCTGATTACTGAGTAGAGAACTACATATATATGTATTTATATGTACGTATATACATACGTATGTATGTACGTATTTCCATTTTATGTTTCGTTCAGACTCGCAAGCTATCATTCAATTTTTAAACTTGGTTATGAAAAGTAATCCATTTTGGACTCAATACAAATAAAATAAAACATTTTTAAATTCATAAATAAAAGCCTTAGAGTTTTGTTTTGTTTAAACATAATCTGATTGTGTTCCAAACAAGACTGATTTATAAGTAACTCCCACCGTGCACATCCCATCTGCAATAAAAAGTCCCGTTCGCAGCATTCCAAACGGCTTCGAACCAACACTCACACTACCACTCGCGAGCCTTCCTAACAATTGTCTGGCTACAACCTGTCTGCAACCCAAACCCATTAAGCAGGAACACTTGAGCTTACCGCCTTTTCTGCGATCAACTCGAGCTTTTGAAGCTTTATCCTTTCGCGTGTGAGTTTACACCCACATGCATGCATCCAAAAATGCATCATACACACATATTTACACACATACATACATATGTATGCATTTGTAAGCATGCATGGGTGTAGAAGCGAGTATCTAAGCGGTGTCTAAATCGAAGCAACATGTGTGCGTTTTAGTGCCAAGTGCCGGCTAGCTTTCAATAGAACGAAGTGCTGGCGGGGTGGAGGGCTATTGATGGTCGCTGTTGTTGCCTTTCAAGTGGGTGCACGATGGCGGTCCAAACATATGTACATACATATGTATGTGCGAATGTGCCGAAACGAAAATATTTGCACGCTTTTACACCCACGCACGTGGAGTAGACTCACACATACACTCACACACACGCACACACACGTACTGAGATTTGTGGGGGCGGTTGCGCAACGGCACCGTTTTGCATTGAATATTTTTGCGCAAAACTCGGAAGTAAACGCAATAGAGAATAAAATAAACCAGTCGAGTCATAACATATTCAAATCGCCGGCGCTGACGCCAGCAGCGCTGCATTGTAACAGCATCCCAACGCCAGCGTCAACGTTAGCGTCAGCGTTAGCGCTAACGTCAACGCCGCTTTTACTCTCACGTGAAAAGTTTTTTGCTCAGCGGCACGAATTAAACTAAACAACCACCGTTAAACATTGCAGATGGCAAACAAAAAAAAAACATAAAAATAAAATCTAAAAACCCCTTCGCAGTCTCTGTCGCTGCCAGGCTGCTGTCGCTGCCGCTGCCTTGCCAAAAGTAATGACATCATGTGAGGCGGCGGAGCGCGTTGACGATGCCGCACGCATATCGATGCCACACACAAACACACATGAATACATCGAAACATAAGCAAAGCGAGAAATTGGTTCAGGCGCCGTTTAGAGTCCGCTTCAGTCGGCGTTTGTCCACAGCCTGCGACGGGCACTCGTCGCCATCGTCAGCATGAGCAGAGGCAAGACTGACCTTCAATCAAAAATTCGTTGGCGAATTAGAATTGGCGCGCAATGGTCTTTTCAATTGCATGAAACGGCGTTGCCATATTGCAGTTTGGCCAAATAGATAAGCTTTTGGCTATAAGTGCATGCAGTGCTGCGATGCGAGGCGATTGCTGCGCAAATAAGTTCGCTTGCGTACCAACAACAGCAACAATAATTGTTGAACGACGGCAACCAACGGCAACACAAAAAAATGTTTCAAGGCGAAATTCGTATGTTGTTGCTGCTGCTGCTATTTTGCCATGACGCAGCAACAACAGCAACATTAACAGCAACTGTCAGTCATTCAGCCAGCCAGCCAGCTAGCCATTCAGTCAGTCAGTCAGCCGCATAAAATAGCACAGAGTGCACACGATACGACGCCAGCGTCGAAGTCGAGCCGATGGCAAAGCTAAAAACAACAACTAAAAAGTACCTGGCACCGCAACAACAACGACTGACGACGACGACATCGTCGCCAACTTATTTCGTTGCTTTTGCTGTTGCCGTTGCCATTGCCTCAGATACATACGAGCCAGCTAACCAACAGCAGCAACATCAGAGATACAGATACGAGCGAGTATCAGCGAACGTCGCTTGCTTGTTTCACTGAAATAAACAAAAATTGTTGAACAAAGCCAACGCCAACAGATCCCAAATAGCCCAGACCAGCCAGCCAAACAGCCATGTCAGCCATCGTAGTCGCAGCCGCAGCCGCTTGACGGCAATTCGAGAGTTCAGTTTTAGCAGCGGACCCAGAGCGAAGCAACGTTCGCAACGTTCGCGCTACGTTCGCTTCACTTCAGTTCACCGTTCGCCTTCATTTTGCCCACCACATACCATACGATGAAACATATGAACACATACATACATACATACATGCTGATGTGTATATACACACACACACATCTGTACACATGCGTCAGCCAGTCGGTACGAACGAGTATGTATGTATCTATGTATGTGCATATGCCAGCGTGTGTGTCTGTGTGTGTGTGCATGTGGAAATGTACTTTTATATAAACGACGACCCAACACCGCACACTACACAAAATCCCAACTGACAACACTGGCGCACAAAGATACCCACACTCATACACACACATACACTCATACTCGTGCACGTATGTACATGTACATGTTCAAATGCTGGCGGCGTGTGTTTGTAGACAGTTAGTCAGAGTACTTGCCAGCGTTGCCATATTATTGCTTGTGGACCCCATATAAGGCCCATTAACTCATCTCCACTTAACCTAATCACATAACTAGGCAAACTTTTAAATGGACACATTTTAACACCCCAAACTTTGGTCAACTTAATCTAAAAAGTTACCGATATTTTGATTAGTCGAAGCGCAATGACAAAGAAAGAGAGTTGATGGGAAGATAAACAAAATGTGGTTTAATAAATTTGCCTACTGAGCTGCAGATATTTGAAACAGTATTAAGATTCATATACTATTAATTATTAATGGAGTTGAACGTTAGCGCCTAATCAAGGGAAATCTGCGTAAAAGATCTCAAATGTGTATTTGTCCTAATTTTTCAATGATAATGATTTCTATAGATGTTTAAGTTTACACCAAATCTTACATTATAAGGTTTAATGTTGGTACAGATATACACATGTATTATATACATACATACATATATTATTATGAAATATACACTATTGCACAAATATGATAGTAGCAGCATTTGTGATTTCTAAAGTTCAATATCAGGGTCTAATCGAACGAACTTTATTTCGGAGGATCGGTATTTTGGTGAATTTTTGTAATAGTTACATATTATAAATATATTATATTATAAAAATACAAAAAGTCTGTTATCAAATTTCGAGTTATTATAAAGTTTTACGTTGCTACAAAAGTACATCTTCCTTATTCTATATGGTTTCTATAGTTTTTTTGGAAGAATTTTTAAACATCTCGTAGATTATTTCTATTTCATTTTTACGAAAATTAACTAAAATTCACATTATACTCGGTGTCTTTGAACATCTTGGAATAGTTTATAATATATATAATATACATATTTGCAAGGAACAACCTTCAACTGTTTGACGATGAGAACAAGAACGATGTGGCAGCACTGTTCACATTCAAATAACTGCCGCCGCCGCTGTCATCGTCGTCGCCGCCACCGCCGCCACTCCTTGAAACGAACGTTTGCACAACGATTGCTTGCGCTTGTTGTGTTGCTGTCGGTGCTATTCATTCGAATTTATTTTGCGCTGGCAACATCGGCGTTGTTTCGTATTTGCAGTACAGCTGGCAATGCCAAAAGTATGCCGTTGTTGCTGCCATGCCATCGAAAAGCAGCGTACAACGTATATGCGACTCTCTCCCTCCGCTCCGTGCGGCGCTCAAACAGCGACCGACAAACTCGTTCAATGCTTTTTACATAAGTGCGCGCTGGCTACGACTGCGAGTGAGAGTGCGAGCAGTAGCACATGCTGCTGCTGCCCTGCTTGCGCCGCTGTAGGCATGCCTAAGAGTGTGTGTGCGAGTGTTCAGGGGTGCATTTACTAAATGCGCGATTGTGTGAGTGTGTACGACGTATCTGTGTGTTGTTCGGTGTTCGTTGTTCGCTGCTCGGTTGCTTTGCCTGCCTTTGCCTGCTTCTTGTGCGCTGGCCAGTTTATTTGTGATTTTAGCATGGTAGACTAAGGTACACGTCGCTCTCGAGTCGCACGGAACACAACTTCGACGACGACGACGACGAAAATTTCTACGTAAATTTGCTTCAGACGTATCCGCAGCGCGCGTAATTTAAAAGTTATCTCGCCGCAACCAAACATTCAGTTGTTAAAAGATATAAAAAATATATATAAATATTGAAGTATTCAAAAGCTGTGCTTTGTGTGTGCATTTCCAACTAAAACAAACAAAAATAAATTCAAAAATATAAAAATTCATCCAAGTATTAAATGTGGCTAACTAATACAAGTTTCACATATTTACAAAACGTTTCTGCCGCACTCAGCTCCAACAACAAAACAGTAACTAACTAACAGTGATTGTGTTTAAGAAGAAGAACAAACAAACCAAAATTTTGTAAAATGTCATTTGTTTACGGTGCCGATAGGCACTTGGCAGCCCTCTGAGGCGGCCGTTGCAAGGATTCTGTGCGTGTTTCTGTGTCTTCTTCCTCACTCTCAGTTGATAAATTTGATAAACTGCAGGAACTGCAAATCCAACTGTAAATCCAACTGCAAAACTGGCAACAATCGGTTGCCGTTACTCCCTACATTCTGGGCCCTTGCAATTCGCAAAATTGGATAAACATAGTGAACCCGCGTATTTAAGCACGGCTCAGCCGAAAATGTGCACTGAGGTGAGTGTCTTGTCAAGGTCTAACTAAACCCAATCTATAGCGCCTAAGTAACCATCATACCTCAAAACTGTGACAGGCATCCCTCGGGGAGTCGCTTCATTGGCTGGTTCAGCAAGTAATCGAGTGGGGGAGTCCTACATTCCATCCAACTGCCAATTGGACTTCCAGTGGAGGGATATTTTATAGATAGATTTTTGACTATCTATATTTTTATGACTATAATAGAATTTAGATTGTGTACATCCTACCAAGATTGGCAAATTAATCAAAAAGTCTTCAATGCATCCATTATTCTAAGCATTCCTGTTAAAAATTACAGATTGATAAACCTTTTCACTGCTGGTATTTATTTCATTGCATATACTTAATATCTGTAATGTAGAAGACTTTTCAAATTCAATCATTCATTATATTTACATCTAAACTAACGACTATATATTAATGTTCATATGTACATACATATCTGTTTTATTATTTGTTTTATTCAAACAAGTATTTACAGACGTCTATGCTTCACCCAAATATATCTGTTCTAAAATAATAGTACTTCATCATCATATATGAAATAGTAAAGTAGAATAACTTTCTCTATATAATAGATTGCTTTGGTCTTTGGTCCTACTTTGGTAACAGAGAGATATGATGTCTCTTAATTTTGATGGTTGTTCTCTATATCAACGTTAAGAACACTGTCTTTTTGTCACCAATTTTCAATAGGGCATTATTTTTGACTTCTGATAACTCCAGAATATCGCAGCATCTCACCCACAACACCAGCAGTCGCACTAACTGAGAGCTTTTGGTGAATCATGCAGGTGGCCTTTACGATGACGGCGGCATTTTCATATTTCTCTACAAATATGTATGTGTGTGTATGAGAGTTTGTGTGTTGCACCTTTCCTTAGGAGCGCGCGTAAAAATTGGTAAGCTTCAACATGTGGTTTCCACCTACGCGCCCAAATGCCAATACGAATGGCTCCTACTGCTTATCGTTAGTGCGTGTCTCTTAGCGTCTATTCCTGTGTGCGTGTGTGTGCGTGTGGGTGGCACGACTGAACACGTATGTACATATGTATGTACACATGTATGTTTGTTTGTTTTCATGCAGTTTGCGTTTTGTGGCTCTCTAAATTGCCGCAGACTCAACAGTGCAGGATAATAACAGGCAACCAACATGCTGCGGCGCCTCTAATCTGAGGCAAGCCAAACCCCACAGTAGTAGCAACACCAAACACAACAACAACAACAAAAGCACGCATACACATGCTCAACATCCCCCCTCTAAGCATCGCCCAAAGCATTTGTAAACAATGCAAAAAGTTGCACGTGCTGCATTGTTGTTGTTGCCTTTTTTGCACCCATGCTGCTAACTGCAGCAGATACGTGTACGTATGTATAGTACATATGTACACTGTGCATATATCATGCAGCGCCATCTATTGGCAGGCCCATGCAGCATGCAAAATAGCTGTTCCTGTTATTGTTATTGCGATTTCTGTCGTCGCCTATTAGACCGCTGCTCGCGCTCTGCTTGGCTTGGCAAAGACCAAGTCCGCCGTCTAATGCAACAATTGGACGACGCTGACGCTGACGCTGGCGCCGTCGTTGTCTTGTCCTCTTGCACCCCCCAAAACGATAACAGCAGCACTCACACACACACACACATCCAAACAACAGTGCACTGTTACATACAGAGACAGCTGACTTTCGGCTGCTTAATTAATTACATACCTACATACATACACACATACAAACAGCAAGTAGTACACTACGCTGCATTGCATTTAACAGCGGTCGTGCGCTCTCTCCCCCACCCACCAAAAAAAGGAAGAAGAATAAGAAGCAATAAAATAAAACAAAACTTTTGGCTGCTGTTTTCTCTTTCGTTTCAGTTTGCGGCGAAGTCGCGTGTTAAATGCGGCAGCGTATTAATTTCTTAGTTCTTATGAACGCTGAATTTTTTAATTGTTTTTCCATTGTTGTTGTTTCGTTGGGGTGGTGGTGCTGTGCGCTGCCTGACCATTGCAAATTCCGGCACGAGACTTAATTCACTTAATTGAGCAAACGACGACGACGACAACGGTGGCGTTTGCGCCGCTGTTGCTGCCGCAGTTGACGCTGCTGCTGGCGCTCTGTTGGCGCCGCTGCTGCGAAGAGCGGCGCACATACAAATAATAGTTCGAAGTTGGCGTTGCGACGCTGCGGACGCCAATGCCGGGCATTTGATTTCACTTTCAAGATACATTAACACACAAGTGCGGCAAGTGCGCGCGCCTTTTGAGTTATTGGTAGCACTCACACACACACACACACTCTCGAGACTCAGACTCGGGTCTCAGACTCCTTGCTGCTGCTGGTGCTGTTGTTTTTGTTGTTATTGTTGTTGCTGGTGGTGCTGCTTCCTGGTGTGCCATTTTCTTTGCTCTTCGATTTTATGAATGAAAATGAAACGTTGGGGGCAGCAACAGCAACGGCAACTCACGGACGCGGCTTGCATTGCTTTATTTGCATGCATGTGGCACAGGATACGCAGTTGCTCACACAAACACACACACACATGAAAAGAGAGAGGCGAGAATACAAGTACACATGTCTGTTATCGTTCTTCTTGCTGTCGTTATTGTTGTTACCATATAAAAAGAGCCTTGGGGGCCTGTCTTGCGCGGCCTTTCGCAACTGTTTGTATGTCTGTGCGCCATTAATGCTATTATCCTTTGCCTCTCCTCGCTGTTGCTTTCATTGTTGTTGTTGTTGTTGTTGCTGCTGCTGCTACTGCCTCTTAATTTGCTTTCTTAAATACTTGCGCTTGCGGCACCAGCTGTGTGGCAACCATTGGCGTTAACTTGTTGCTATTCTGACGGTCAAGTGTGGCAGCAACAACAGTAGAAGGAAAAAAACCCACATAAAAAAAACAACCAAACAACAACAAACCTTTCAATGAAAAGTTGAAACACTGATAAGGCAGCTTCGCATTTTTAAGGGTTGGTTGCACGCCACACGAAAAAGCTTCTGCGTCTTCGAAAAATGTAAACAAAACCGCATGTCCATTTAAGCGCGCGCTCTTCATATTGCCGCAGGTAGTAGTCGCAGTAGTTGAGAGTTGCTGCTCTTCCTGTTGTGTTGCTGTTGTTATTGTTGTTGTGGCAGAGTCGCGGAATTTTTCGCGCATGAGTAATTGACTGAAGTCACGATTTCGATGAACTCAGCTATCTGCTCATTGGGACTTGTAGTAAGCGTTTAGTTTGAGTTGCAAATGCAAAACTTCGCATAACATTTTGCGGGCCTTAAAATTCGTGAACGATACATTTCTCATTTTCATAACTCCACTTAATTAAAAACAAAGAAAAACCTAATCATCGTCTTTTTGGGACGGTTTTCCCAAAAGAATTTTTATAGTCACACAACTTCGAAATGTTAAGAAATTGACGACCATTTGATAGTAAGACTAAAGCTTAAAACAATTTCATACTGCAATTTAGGAGAGTTTGTACCAATTCTAGAACCCCTAATGCTAAGCAGTTATATCGAAATTGCAATTTAGGAGAATTTGTAAACCATTCTAGAACCCACAAAGCTTTCTCATGCTACAAATCGGCCTGTTTCATAAAAGTACTAAGCTGTCTTATCGAAATGCTGAAAATAGTAAAGATATATTTAGTAACAGGCTTTCATTAGACTAATTATATTTAATCCTTCAAAGATATTTCCAATAAACCTTGGTCTTTACATTTGTTTCATTGTCATTCCTAACACTGAAGAAATGAGTGCGGACATTGAGGAAATGAATTTATACTAAAAAGTTATTTTTTGGGGCTTTCCAAAGCTTGGTTTTTGGAGCTGCAACAACTGGTTTGGCTGAACGGGCTCAAGCGGTTACCATAAGCCCCGGTTAATCAACATTGAATTAAATGTACGTATGTATGTACGTATTGCTATCAATATCGTAGTCCCATAACTTAGTTATGATCTTAAAAGCATACAACGCTTTGGTCTACAACTTTGGCAGGTATTATTATCTTTAGAACACTAACCTATTAAAACAAAGATTTGTGGGACTCTCAGTGTAAATCCTATTTAGTTTTATTAATATTAGATTAGAAATAAAAAACATATTTTATAGTTTCTTTTTAACATACATATTACATTTAAGGAACTCAGTGATTTTTTAGCTGTCGTCTTCTATTCGAATTGTTAACAACCAGAATTGCATTTTGTAGTCCAAGTTTTCACTGACAGATTCATAAACGAGAACATATAGTAGTCGGTGTTCACAAACCGACAACAACAACAACAGCAACTTGAGAATAGAAGACATTGACTCTCACTATACTACATACAAGTACATATGTAGCTTCACCGACCGATTGACTTGTGAGGGATTTATGGGAATGCCACAAATGCGAAGCGGCACATGCTTATATGGGATTTAAAGCTAGCGATGTTGCTGCAAGAATAGCAACAACAATAGCAGCAGCACCAGCGTGTGGCTGCAACAGTCGCGTTGCACAAATCTTATCAATGAATGCGCATCACTTGCACTTGTTTGCGCTGCGTTGCTTTTGCTTCTGCGAGTTTTGTGCGACAGCGTCGGCGTTCCTACCTATGGGGGAATTACCCGACAAACGTAAATGGTGACGACAACAACCACGATGTTGAATGATGATGCTGCTGCTTATGTTTTTACTGTTGCTGTTGTTTGAGCTGCTGACGTGACGCGCCATGCACTTGCCTTGCACAAACGCAAACAGCCACACACACACACACACACAGGCAGCCACCCAGAGAAGCTCGCACACATACATACATATATATTGGTACATGAAGAGCGACTATTCACGCACACTAGGCTATTATTAAATCGTTTGCCGCAAATTTGCGGTTGCGTCACCTACTTAACAGTGCGCTGGCAACTCTGGACGCTCTGCTGACCAGCGACAGGCGGCAAGCGGCAGAGGTATCGCTAACGGTAACATTGGTGGCTCGTGTATCCATTCAGGCAA